CCAAAGTGTCATTCCTCGGGGGCCGTTCACAATTTCTGTTAAGTACTCACCAAGTCTGCTAATCTAGCTGATAGCTGGCCAGTAAGTTCCAAGTATCTGGCTCTGCCCAGCAATCCTGCACTGGCATTAAAAGTGAGCTTCACCACACCCAGTTTTTATTTTCCACGTAGTTTCTGTAACTCGAACATACTTGCCAAGCTTTCTACCAGGCTCAAGGTCAGTTCCTACAGTGTACACAAAGCAAGTGAGGCAGAAGACTTGATTGCCAATGTTTGGATAAGTGAGTTGTTAAAACTTAATATGATTTAGAAGGAACAAATCCTAAACACAAATGACCTAGCTGAGATCTCCTCTGTCTCTCTCACCAATGACTATTAGTAATGTATTGTGTGGCCAGGGGTGTAGAAAGGTGAAGAGGCCTTGCTATTTTAACCAATGTCCTTGTGATGGCCAATGGGACTTAACAAACAACAGCAACATTAATAATAAAACAGCAGCTGGTGACTTTGAGTGAGGAAATGAAACCCAAGACTCAGCTGTTGATCATGATGTACAACCTCATCAAAACGCAGGTAGGACTTCTGATTCACAGTGTATAAGATGGTAATGATCTCACAGTGTCGGTTCTGGTAGAGGAAGCTGCTTAGTTACAATGAATTGTGATCTACGACGCATTTTATCTGGATCAAACTTCTAAGTGTTATACTTTAAGAGCAAAATTTATTTTTCAAATCCACAAGTGAAGGGTTGTGATTACCCTATAATGAGAAACAGTTCATTAATCTTTAGTTCACTGGATCACAACTAAGACATCATCATGTTGCTCCTGAAAGACACAATACTGAATACAGTTACAACAATCAAACAGCTGAAAAAACAACACTGTGAAGACACCATACTTTCCTATGGCCAACACCAGGGGACTGAGTCCGGCTGAGCACAGGATTGCTTTTATTTGAGTCAAGAAAAATGAAAGGTTAGAAGTAACAACTTAGAAGCTTGTGCTTCTAAGCTGAAACTAATGAAAATATCTAAATATTTTAACTACAATTTTCTTGGTCATATGTTATTTTTGCTTGTGAATTTTAGATTGAACAGTGTAGATTCCATATCAATAGCTGTATTCTGAATAGCCTTACTATCTAATAAGTATTTAAGTATTTATTTGTATTTTGATCATTGACTCTGGGTCATAAAAAACATAAAGAATTTACAATTTCTGATTAAGAGTGTATTTTACCAAGCAATAAAAACAAATACTGAATCTAGGGGGTTTATAATTAGAATTTGTAATTTTTAACATAACATTTATTTTAAAAATTCTCCATACATTATTCTTTCATTTTTTTTTCCTATTTTTAAGGAGTTGTGGTTGAATTAAGTAAAGATACAATTTGTAGGTTAGGTAAGAATTACTTCTATTTAATAATTTTTTGGCATAGTTTACTCTATAATATCTTAAATAAAGACAGAACTCTCTGCAGCTCTTGCCATCTCCGCTGTAGGAGTAAAGCAGTTGGACAGCAAATTAGTTGCCTTGCTGCAATATGGTCTGAGCAACCATGTAAACAAGGAAATCTGCTAATCAAAAGCAATTCCTCATGAAACAAAGACAGCAGCTAATTGAGAGCATCTGATGCTAAAATAAGATTAACTTCAAAATGAAATCTCACACAGCATCTTGTAAGAAAGCTGCTGAGATCATGTAAAAGCCCGCAGCAGTTCAGAAGAGGAGATACTGGTACAAAGGCTGTTTCTCACTCAAGCACGATGTTTTGCAAGCCTCATAATTAACATGATCCCTAGCAAAACTGCTTGACAGCGTATAAGAAAATGACAAAAATGAATCTCTTGGGGTTCCAAACACTAGCATCTATCTATAGCAAGCAAATCCACAGTCGACTGAGCCTCCCTCCGACTGCTTGATCTAACTTGTGCAGCTGCTGTTTTTACCTAAAGAGCAAGATAGGACATTATTGTGAATTCTGACTCTCTTTTTTTCTTCTGTGCAGATAGCTGTAGAAACAATAGTAGCATGTTGTTAGGTAGACGGATTCATCCAGAGGACAAGGACTGGCCAGAAGAATCATGAGAGTATAAGAGAAAGTTAGGTAGCAGAAAACAAATGAGCTAAGTAAGAGTTCACATCAGGATGCTTCCCAGTGTCAAACATTGCTGGTTAAAAGGAGAGAATTTGTTCTATGAGGTTAGAAAGAAGTAGGGAGAGAAGTTGGTGCCACTGTCAATCACTACATGGTGAGATATGGTGAGACAGAAGTCCAAAGTAACAAATTTAGAAGTTCTGTAATATAAGACAAAGCAAAATATTGATATTTCCAAGCTATGGATTTCATTTATTCTACAAAAGGAAATGACATAAACTGACTTTTGAGACTGTTCATGTGTAACTAGGCTACCTAATGCCAATATTTATAATCCAATTATTGTTCACAACATCATACATAAAATGGTGTGTAAATACATACATAATAAATAACACAACACTGAATTATAAATATATATGAATACATATAAAAGATCTCAGGAAAGAGAGGAAGAAGGGTAGGAGATGGAAAGGAAAAGGGAAAGAAGGAAGGATGAAGGAATGGAGAAGAGACGTCTCACTGTGGTGAGAATCTGACATTCTCAATGACTTGAGAAGCAGTTGTTTTTATCGTAATTGGACTAAGGTCTTATGTTGGCAAAGAGAAGATGACTTGGTTACCCCTCCCAGGAGTTTCAAACACTATCAAAATACCTTCTGCTGTCAGAGAGAAAAAAGGTAACAGAAGGCAGAGGAGAGGATCAGAGCTCTTTCATACTCAAGATCAAATTTGTCTACACAGAGATAGAAATGAGTTTATCTATTTCTAGAAACGACAGTAAAATTTCATCTTTGTATGTGGCTCGTGTGTGTGTGTATGTGTGTGTGTGTGTGTGTGTGTGTGTGTGTGTGTGTGTGTGTGTGGTGTTAAACTCAATCTCATTTGCTTAACCCACTAAGTACCCTCTCGGCTGGATGAAAAATTATCTGCTTGTTTTCTTTTCTTTCTTAACAGATGATCTGAGAACTCCAGGGCCTCAAAAATAACCCTGGAATAGAAAGGCATCAACTTCCCATTGCTCTTTAATATTTCTTTCTTACTCATCATCAGTCGATGTGTTGCCCACGGTACAAAGCGGCTGCTGATGGTGAGTTGGTGTTTTCCTACTGCTAACTCCACTATGCATCCGAGCTCAGGGATACCATCAATTCCACAACTGCAGGTACTTGAGTGTCTTAACCGTGTCCTCCCAGTGGAGCTTTCTTGTTTGCACCACTGTGAACACGGAGCAGGCATAAGGACTCTTAACTTTTAGCAAATGTCTGAAGCTTCTGGAATGCAGCCATTTTCGTTTCTCATTTTGTTCATCTGAGGAGGAATAGGATGAAAATCCTCTATTCTCAAAGATCTGATATGCTGTTGCTTTTACCGTGATTAGTCTAATGCCCCATGTTGGCAAAAGGCACATGTATAGGTTGCATTCTCCTAGAGTTTCAGATAGTGGCCAAAAGCATCCTCTTCATTAAGATTACCAGAATCACACAGCAAGGGCCTTTAATCAGTTGCTTTACATACTTTATCATTAAAGTCTACCACTTTTCTAATTTATTGCAGTTTTAAAATCTAATCGAATCTATTATTCATTGGGGAAGACATGAATAAAAGTGCCATTTAAGTCATATATCAATATTATCAGCTGACGGATACTCTCTGAATTCTGCATTTCTCTCTGAGTGAATGGTTCATACAGGAGAGAAAGGACAACAGACAGAGCCATGAACAAATGGATATGAAGGGCTTCCTTAAAGGTGTTTGTATGGAAACATCTCATATTGAGGGGAATGAAAGTGTAACACTTTATCTGTGATATTTTTTCATACTGTCCAATTCATATGCTCTCCTTCAAGTACAAATTAGAAGCTCTTAAGAGTAGAAGGGTCCATGTGCTTGATCCAAGCATTTCATTAGAATATAACACCAGGTACAGCAATTTAATAGGAGACTCATTAGGAATCTTTAAGCCTTAGTTCTCAGGAATATGAAGAACCACCCTGGCACTTTTTTGGCAGGAAAGTGACTAAGCAACCCACAGAAATACTTAGTGAGCCAGAAGGGCAAGCCAATATGCTCAGATGACTTTTTAAAATAGAGAAAATGAATTCTAAGTGCTAAAACCCATCTAGAAAGTAGTAAAATAATAAGATAACAACTAATATTAATACAGTCTGTTACCAGAAATTGATTAACCATCATCTTCCTGGAAGAAAGGCTTGTGGTATCATATGATTTTAATAACACTTTCTCACTTCTATGGTGAGAAATAATTTCCCTAGTCCACCACTTCATCGTAATATAGTCCATTATATATTAAACCTTCTTAGGATACAAAGAAAATACTCTCACCTCTATCCATTACCACAATCAATAAGAAGTCCATTGCTTTTATATGGTAGCTACAATTATTTCAATATTTCAAGATATGGGTATTGCTGTGGCATCTATACATCACTTCAGTAATATTTTCCCACTTTAGCAGGTATGAATAAAATTAGTTCAAGTTATAATTTCAAAATTTTCTTCTCCTGAATAAGATGAGCTGATCATGTAAAGATTATGTTGCCAGTGGAATTTCTTCAACTTACTAGTGTATTTTAAGAGAACCACAAAATGGTAACATGAAGAAAGACATTACTGAGAGTTTATAAAATTCTTAGGCCATGTGTGCTGAGATATTTTTAATACCTGTAGTCAGTAATTAAAGGCTAGAGGATCATGGACCATATGACACTTTATGTTCTATGAGATATTCTGTCAAAAATCAAAAGAAAAATAAAAGAAAAAGAAAGTTCTTCACATATTTTAAAGAAATTATTATCATCGGAACCACATGATGCTAATTTTTAAGTGATAGTTGTTTTATAGATTATTTTATTTCATACATTTTGTACCCTATATGTAAGTGTATAAATAAAATATATTCTTTCTCTAGAACTTTGGAGTACATGCCAATATTGCAATAGTTTACAAGAATGTGAGAGACAGCAACTTGGTGTCCAGCATCATCTTCCTTTATGATCACCACCGTGCTTTACCTGTAGAAGCGAGATAATTTGATAAGAAATGCTGATTTAGATATCTACAGAAACCTAATGCTACCATTTAGATTCCATTGCTATCACTCTTGTTTATTTAATCACATTTTTTCAGTAAAAAGGAGGAGAGATTTGACTCTTAGATTAAAAATTGAGGACAAAAGTATACTTAGGAGAGGAACATTTTCTATTTGAATCGAGTGATTTGCTCCCTCTGTCTTCTTATTTCTCCCTAGCTGGCCACAAGAATTTAACAGATTTGATAGTGTAATTAAGCATGCATAGGGATTCCAATATGCTACTTGTCTTTCATGATCACAAGTGAAATTGAAATCAAAACCACTGATGCTCTTGCTGGTAATAACGTCCTTGAAGAATGCTTCTGCCTAGGAAGAACAAAGCAGGGAAACGTTCACTCTTCTGCATCTTCATACTCTTAACTTTGGTGCCAACAATATGTAGTGGGCAGCTGTTCCAGCTTTGACCTGGAAGTACTACCCCCATTGAGGCTTTAGTAACTGTCATGCCTGCAATTCAGGGCTGAGACAGGAGCCCTTAAGATCTGAGATCTGGATGTGCCAGCTCTCTTGGTTCCTGGATCCTGGATGCTGGATGTAAACCAGGCAGAATTTTCCAGAGAACACCGCTCGACTGCATAACACCTTTCCAGGACCCTGTAACCTATCCCTTTACTTGTAAGTTACCCCACAAAATAAACCTCCCTTTTAACTACGTGGAGTTGCTTTCTTACTACAACCAATAAAAATATGTTCCCATTTTTCTTCTGAAAGACACGAGGGAGCAAAATTTACAGTTTACCTCTTCAGGGAATGATGCTTTTGTTTCTCTCAATCTATCATTTCTTAGATATAAACATTACTGTGTGTAAACACTAATATACATATATATGCTTGCATTCATAGTAGATGAGAAACTGATTATTCCATTCGATTTCACTTTAGAAGAGATGATCAGTGTTGATTTTCGCAGATATCCAATCTTGACAGTAAGATTTGCCTTGCTTCCATTTCTTTGTTCTCAATAGATGTGAAGAGAGAGAGAGAGATAGTTATGAAGTAGTGTTCAAATCTCTCATTCTATCTTGTTCTTTAATCTACAAGAAAGCATACATGTTCACACACACACACACACACACATACACACACACACACACACACACACACACACACTCAGGACCCACATCATAATTTTAATCAAAAAGACATCTGTTGTTACTCTTCTTCCACTGTTCTTGGCTGTGTTTAAATACATAATTTTACTTGAAATTGCAGCTGATTTCCTAGAATGACATACATTTTTGTCTTTTGCTACTTGATGAACCTCATGCTATTTCTGCTTCCTCTAGATTCTGATGATGGAATGGCTTCTTTGGGGTAGAAAAAGAGCATAATAAGCACATTCAGTTCTACTCTGGCCAAGCTGATGGCCAACGCGGGTAAGATAGGATGCCAACCGCATGACTGGGGCTCAGTGCTTCCAGTTTTATTCCTCCATGATGAAACTTCTCTTACACAAGCAACTCAAATGGAATGAACAGGAGGAACATGAAAGAAAGAAAAATGGGACAGCCTAAAGCACACCTTCTAATAACGTGACCCTGCTAAGAAATCTGAGTGCTAATGATGAAGGCCTGGGTGTTGCAATCAGGCCTCATGTTAAGATAGCTATTTTTGATATATGCCCACAGCCTGATTGCAAGGGGAAAAGACAAGATTTCAAAGACTGCCAAGTTCTACTGTCACTGGTTTCAGCTTCCAAAGCAAGAGAAGCCTTTACAGATAATGCAGTAACTCCTCATTATGTTCTTTTACGAATGTGTGTCAGCCACGTATGTGCATCACAGCCAGTAATTGTTCAAAAGCTAAATATTAAAAGAGTCAGTGCATACACTTTAGTAGAGTCACTTGATTGCCACTTTATGTTACAGAGGTTAAAGCTATTCCTCGGAATTTATTAGTGAGCTGTCATTCTGTTCCCAGCAGACTATACATACAAAGAAAATAATATGCAGATCATGATAAAATGCTAAACAACATTTATTGGGATTGAAAACCCCTTTTCAGCACTTGGTATTTGATGTATCTGATGAGGAGTGACAAAAACCTTGAAATGACTAGCATTTCTTCATTGATTTAACTTTTTACTTTTATGGATTTACTCCTTAAATTTGCCTCTTCAACTTCAGTCATTTTTGCAAAGCAAATGAACAATATTCTTCAAAATGCTGGTTCAAAACATGCAATGTTATATGAAACATTTAGATGTAAAGATTCTCATCTGTAAATAATCTCTGTGCCAATAGTCTCTCATTTTAGATTTCCCGGAATGACATGCATATTTTTAAAAAAAAGTGTAAAAACAGCACCCATGCAAAACCCACTGAAAAACATTAAAGCATTTCCCTCAGGTCCATCAAATGCAGCTGCTTTGCTTGGGTGCTATTTTGCTTCCTTTGTGAGCACTATTGGCTCACCCAGAATCTTGTACAATTTAAGGGGCTTTATGATGGCAGGGGAATCAAACAAAATTACTGTTCACTTTAATGATTCTCAGGTATTTTAACATGTCATTTTTTACAAGTAGTTAAGACAGCTACCTTGCAAACTTAGAGTAAATAAATCTATCTAGCCCACACAACATAATGTAGGAAAGAGTAGAAATAATGCAGTAGAATCAGTTTTCTTCTGTCTTTATTTTTAAATGACAATAAAATGGAAATAGAAAGTGCACTGGTTTCCAAACTCTCTGAACCTCCTAACTAATATTATTCAAAAAGAATATCAAACCACAATTTCAAAGAAGCAACTCTAATTAGACTTGGGGGTGTATGAAAAGAAAAAGAAAAGGAAAGAAAAAAGAGAGAGAGAGAGAGAGAGAGAGAGAGAGAGAGAGAGAGAAGGAGAAGGAGAGAGGAAGGAAAGGAAGGAAGGAAGGAAGGAAGGAAGGAAGGAAGGAAGGAAGGAAGGAATAGAGGGAGAGAAGGAGATAGAAGAAAGAAGGCAGAAGGCAATAGCAAGAAAGAAAGGATGGGAGGGGAGGAGAAATGAAGGAAGGAAAAAAGAAAAGAAAAGAAATGAAAAGGAAGAGCATGAAGGAAGAAGGAGAAATTTGAAAAGAAGAGGAGGGCTAGAAGACGCAGGACTGGAATAGAGAAGAGCATACTGAGGATGAATATGATCACTATATTGTGTAGATATATGAAACTGTCAGAAATGATAAATTCAAAGGAAAAAAATATTTAAATAAGAAAAAATATTCCAATTATAATTTAAAGTCAGTAATTTTAAAACAATTTAAGTATAACATATATGCACAGAATGCTCAAAGAATATCAAATGTTGACCCCACTCACATAAAGTAACAACCATAAAAGACTATATTTAAATGTTTTATTATTTATATCTAAAACCCTTCCCCTAATGTGTTCTTTTCCAACACAGACGCTATCCTGATGTGGTAACTAAGGTTAGTTATCAACTTAACTGGATGTGGAATCAACTAAAATCCAATATTCTAGGTATTTATCTGAATGACATCCTCCCCCCACACACACACACACATGACATTTTTAATGATTCTTTGGGAGTTTCACATCATACAACCCGAACACAATCCCATTGCAGTCCTTCCATATCTGCCTTCCTGATGACCCCCCCCCCAAAAGAAATAATAAAGCAAAACAAAAAAATGGTTATCTATGTAATCGCTGGAGCATGGTCAAATTCTTAGTGTCTTACCCTTTAAACAGTACCTTCCCCTTCCATATCTCTGCCAGAAGCCATCAATTATGGGGAGCTACAGTTCTGCTTGTCCCTCACACTTTTTAAGAGTTCTCTTAGGTGACTTCCTGACTAGGCTGTTGCTCTTTTTTTATTTTAATCTGGGGTGGATTTGGGGTGGCAGTAGGTATTATCACAGAAGCCTTGCATGTCTCTCCCTCTCAGATGTGAAAGTACCGTGATAGATAACACAGCCAAGGTAGTGTACTTACTGATATGGATTCACAGTACGCCCCCATGGTTGGGCATGGTCGCGCATGCCTGGCAGGACCTAGTCACTTCCGCCTAGTTATTTCTGTCTCAAAATGTCTCCTGTGACCAGAACCCATGTGATCTACGTGCATGCATGGAACAGCCACATGGGCCTGTGTGCGCAGACATGGTCCAGCCTTTATAAGCCTGCACCATGATTCCTGGCGCCACTTCACCCATGTGTCTTTCCACAGGCCTGTGCCTCTTTACCTTATCTTAATAAAACTCTTGTTAGTGGATTCTGTTGTGTTTTGTGACATTTCCTGGCAGGGTAAGAACACCGTAAATAAACCAACACTTACCCTTCGTGGTCAGTGGGCACGCAGATATCATGGGCCTCCACTAGGTTTCTGGTGGTAGCACAGACCATGCATATGACCCCCTGCTGCATATGACCACAGACCCAGACATGCCTCCCGGAGGCAGCACCGGTCCAGACATCAACAGGGCTTCATGTGGCAGGGCAGGATGCTTACAACAATGTGGCCCTGGGCAGCAGCCTCACCCATGGATGTCATTGTGGCTTTGGGTTGGAACCCAGCCCACAGACCTCTGCATGGCCTTTGGGTGGAAAGCTGGGCCATGGACATCAACACAGACCCTGACTGCAGCAGTGCCTCAGACCCACACGTGGCCCTTGGTGCCAGCAAGGAACCACATCATGTGGTGCTGCATCATCATGGTCCTAGGTGACAGTGCAGGCCACTTGCAACAGTATGGCCATAGGTGGTAACGTGTGCCATAGACATCATCCCAGGCCCCAACAGGGCTCTGCTGAGTAGAGCACAGGTGGTCATAGTCACTGGCTGGTTGACCTCTGGCTGCTGGCTCTTCTGTTGTTGTTCCCTGGGTTGGGGCTGGGAATGGGGTCCAGCTGATGGCTCTTTCCTTCTGCCAGTGTGCCCTCCCTGAGGGACATTCTTAATCAGATTATTTTAACCAGGAAATCCCACCTTAAATTTGGGTGTCACCCTCTGGTGGCAGCCAAGAAGAAAGGACATGGAAGAAGAAACTGCTTTCAGCCTGCTTGCCCCATTCTTACTGGTAAATCCATCTATCCTGTGGCTTTGGCATTCCTTTCCTTGAAGAACCAAAGCGCCTCCATTTTTTTTTTTTTTTTTTTTTTTGGTTTTTCGAGACAGGGTTTCCCTGTGTAGCTTTGCGCCTCTCCTGGAACTCACTTGGTAGTCCAGGCTGGCCTCGAACTCACAGAGATCCACCTGGCTCTGCCTCCCAAGTGCTGGGTTTAAAGGCATGCGCCACCACCACCCGGCAAGCGCCTCCATTTTTAAGCAAGCCCCTAACCCCAGTTTGAAACAGGCCAGAGTTTAGAATTCTCAGAACTGCTGACATAAATTCCAGGAACCAGAAAGTACAAAGTACAGGATATCAAGTTAACTATCTGGATAGTGACTGTTTAACCATGGAATATCCCAACCAGAGGGGGGGGGGCAGCCAATGAGAAATGCTGACAAACAACCGCCCACTTAGCAGTGAGCCAATCAGAATTGTAGCCATACTCGCACCCCTAACTCATGTAAACTTGTGGTTTTTGCCTTTAAAAACTGAGCTTGCAGAGGGGCAGGCACCTCCTCCAGTCTCCACTGTATTGAGTGTGCTTGACTTGGTCTCTGTCTAGGCTTGTATTGTTCCCCAATAAAGCCTTGCTTTTGCATTCCAGTATGCTCATCTTTGGTGGTCTCTCTGGGGGTTGTGATCTGGGCACAACAACCTGATGTTACTTTTTTATTAGTTAAATTTCTTCATTTATTTTATATCCTGACTGCACTTTACCCTCCCTCTTCTCCCATTCCCTCCTCCCACCTCATCTTTGCACCCTGCCTCCCCTAATCTACTCCTCCTCTTTTTCTGTTCAGAAAGGAACAGACCTCCCATGGGTTGTCAACAAAGTGTGGCATACCAAGTTGAGGTAGGACTAAGCTCTTCCCGTCATATTAAGAACTTTGTAAGGCAACCTAATATGAGGAATAGGTTCCCCAAAGCCTGCCAACATGTCAGGGAAAGGCCCTGCTCCCACAAGTAGACCAAGCTATACAATTGTCATACATATGTAGGGGGCCTAGGCCAGTCCCGTGCAGGCTCCCTAGCTGGCAGTCCAGTGTCTGTGAGCCCCTATGAGCCCAGATTAGTTGTTTCTGTGGGTTCCCTGGTGATGACCTGGCTCATAAAATCCTTCCTCCCTATCTTCAACAGGATTCTGGGAGCTTATCTCAGTGCTTGGCTGTGGATCTCTGCATCTGCTTCTGTCAGGTACTACATGAAGGCTCTCTGATGACAATTAGGGAGTCACCAATGGGTGATGTGATGGTAGAACCAAGGCCATTTACTGATTAAAAAAAATACTTTAGCCATAGAAGAAGATTTGGCATTTTGAAGTGAGAATCTTTATCAACCAGTGATCTAAAAGTCAGTTTGCTTGCTAGTATGAAACAATACAGAATTTAAAATGATAAGCGAAAAATCTCAAAGTACATTTATTTCAAATTCTCTGTTGAAGGAGGCCTGTATAAGAAAGAGCAATATTTGAACCCTTTCCAGCATTGTTTACTATTTCAAGTGTTTCTAGTCTACTAAAATAATTCTAGTGGCCAGTCTGGTTTGGATAACTAGTTATAAAATGAATCAAATTGATTATACTTTTTTTCATTTATGCCAATACTTTCAAATTAAATACTCAAAATAAATCCCAGTAGAATAATGTAAATGTCTAAGACAGTTTCAAAATGTTGCAAGATATTCAAACAACTGAAGCCCCAATCACTACATGTCATAAATAGATTAGCCTCTGTGTTTTCTTCACACCTTTTTATGAAACTATATTTATCTGGCAAATAAATTTATCTGCAGATTCATTTTTTAGGTTAAACATACTTTTAAAAGATTGTGTAAAAATATAAAGACAACTTGAAAGTTGAACACTGATAAATATCACTTTCAGAGAACCTATTCTGACATGAAATGAGGAAAAGTCATGTTCCATGATTGATGGAATATGGAAGGATGTTGGGGTCTAGCATTGCAGCAAGGTGCTTTTTTTCTCAGTATGTAGCACAGATAGCCTTGAACTCTGAATCTTTTGCCTCAGCCTGCAACCCCAGCCTTCAGAAGCAGATTATTAAACAAGGACATCTGCTTAGTAATGTGTTGCTTTGAATTTTCTTCTGTTATGATGCCTTCAAAAGAACCATCATGTATATTTGTGATATCCTTGTTCATTTCATGCTTAGGTGGCCATATTTGTGACACTTTAAGGGTATAGATTCCAATATTTCTAGGAGACAAAATCTCACAACAAATTTCCTGGTCTTTGGCTTTTAAAATATTCACCCCCCCCTCTTCCATAATATTCCCTGAGACTTAGTTGTAGGATTGTTTTGTAGATGTATCATCCATTGAAACTGGACTCCACTGCATTTTGATTGGCTGTGATTTTCAGCAATGATCTTGCTCTGTGGCAAAGAAAAATTGCCTTGATGATGTGTGAGGACTGTACTTACAAGGAAAATCCCGATAGGCATCAACACAACTCAAGAAACTACAGGCAACTAATGAATGCTGGGAATGGGGGAAATAGTCTTCCCCCAAGAAACACACACCAATTTATTACCCAGTACCAAAAGGTCAGCCCTGAAAAGATACATAGGAGTAATTCTATACAAACTAGTGGTTTGTATGTGTATGCCACACACATACATATATACATATACATGCATGTAATAACAATTAATGATAAAAGAGGTCATGGATTTGAAAGAGAGTAAGGAGAGCCTATGGGGAGGAAAAGGAAGGGAGGAATGATGAAATTATAACCTCAAAAAATAGAAAAATAAAAAGTACTGTCACAAGCGCTAACAAAACCATCTTCTTAATGATTAATGGAAAGTTTAAGAATTTGTATTCAGAGTATTCAGCCCTCCATATTGAAGGTGCACTAAAAGCAAAGCCAGGCAAAGTTATTAAAATTCATGATAGAAACTCAGGACAAAGAATACAGTTTTGCTATAAATATCCTCCAATTAGTTGGCTATCTGTGACTTGATGGAGATATTGAATCTAAGAGTTGTAATCACTTTCCCTCACTTCAATCATCTTAATGTACCCCAAATTAGAACTCAAATCTCAAAATGTACAAGTGTATCCTTAAAAGGTATATGAAATAGGCTTCATACCTGAATTTAATTTAATTTATTTTTGACTGAACCTAAAATTTTATTTTATTAATAATTTGTATTCATTCTCTGTTCTATAAGGACATTTTCATACCTTTATATAATATACTTTGAATGTATTAATATCCACCCCCTTACCTTTTCCTCCTTTCGCTTTCTCCCTCCCATTAATGACCTTTATTGTTAGTCTAAGAGAACTGTAGATTTACATGTACCTGTAAGCCATGACACGGAGGGATGAAGGCCTGAGCACCTTCCAGTCTCACACCTTATTACATGAAGGGCAGTTTCACACATGGATATTGACATAAGTAGCTGCAATTTAGAATATTTGCATTATCGAAATTTTTCATTAGTTTTGGTAACTGTATGTTCAGGCTTTAAGAAAATCCACCTGTTTTTCCAGAGTGACTGACTGTATTTTTCTTTTCATACAGGAATGTGTGAGAGGGTGCATGCCCTGGGTCCTTGCTCACATTTGGTGAGCAATTTCACTTGAGCCACTTTAAGAGCAGATCATATTCTATTAGAGTTTAGATGATAATTTTCTATTATCTAGGCATGCTAATTATTAAAAAAAAAAACTTTATGGGCATTTGTGTCTCCACTTCAGTAAAATGACCATTTCTGATCGAGCTTTTTTAAAAAAAATATATAAATTTAACAATTATATACATTGAAACTGAAAACAATATTTTGTTGGAAATGTGTTTTGCAATAGCTTGTCCTTATGTTGTCATAACAATATTTTACAGAACCAAAATTTTAATAGAATGAAATTTAAAACAAATGCTTTGTCTTTTTATGGATACTTTTTTCCTTACCAAATTTAAAGATTCTTAACTAAGTCTTAGACTTTGGAGATAGTCTCCTATAATTTTCAAATTTTACAT